AGAAGATATTAATATAGTTTTCTACTGTGCAGCAGAAAATAATATGATGTTTAACAATGGATGAAAACAACACTTGTGTATTTGTGAAATTTATGTAAGGAATTTACACAAAATCTTTCGCACTCTCCTGGGTGCGAGTCTCATTAGACGTTGATATGACATTCTCGTCCTTAGCACACACTCAGACCTTGACAAAGACCTCAGTAGAGGACGAAAGATTTGGTATAAATTCTTACATAAACTTCCCAAGTACACAAATGTGGATTTTTATCATATGTTATTATGTCTGTGAGAAGATATTACCATTACTTATGTTAAAGTGATATATTCAGGTACTCAGGTACGGTAAAAATGTGAACCTTAAATAAAATACAGGATACAAAACACAATTAAGTTTGCCCATAGTAGGAAAGCAACATGTAAAGGATCTGGGAATAATGATGTCTGACGACCTAGCGTTTAGGGAGCATAACCAAGCAAATATTGCGTCAGCCAGAAAAAATGATTGGTTGGATTACGAGATCCTTCAAATCCAGGGATCCCATCACAATGGATGTAGTAAATAAAGGACTTGTGCTGTCCCGTCTTGAGTACTGCTCGATACTTACTTCCCGTTCAGAGCAGGAGAGATTGCTGAAATAGAGGGAATACAGATAACATGCGCAGCATAGCTAGACACGATAAAGCACCTAAATTATTGGGATAATTTCGTCTCAAAGCTCTCCAAATGTACTCACTAGAAAGGAGACGTGAGAGATATGAAATAAAAAACACATGGAAAATGCTGGAGAACCAGGTCCCAAATATACACAGTAAAATAACATACTGGAGTGAACGATAAGGAAGACAACGCAGAATAGAACAGGTGAAGAGCAGTGGTGCCATAAATTCTTCACAATCAGAGAACACTGTATAAACATCAGAGGTCCGCGGTTGTTCAACATCCTCCCAGCAAGTATGAGAAATATTGCCGGAACAACCGTGGACATCTTCAAGAAAAAACTAAATTTTTTCTTCAAAAACTGCCGGACCAACCGGGCTGTGGTGGATATGGGGGCTTGTGGGCCACTCAAAGCAATGTAATGAGTTTACCTCAGAGCCACTAACGCGAGTGGCCTCGACGAGAATAGGAAGCCGGCGGCTTGTCGAAGGTCCATCCCCCACCCCCACCCATTTGCCTTTGCCTTGATAAACTTTTCCGGCTGTACTTTAACAATGTATATAACTAGTATATAAAGTTTAGCATTTGTTGTTATTAGTGTAAATGTTTCTCTTAATTAAAATATCAGTTTGTGTTATTTGTGTTAAATTTTATGTTTCATTTATAAGTGCTTGAGAGAATGTTACGTTGAGTATTAGTAAATGTGTATGATTCTGTAACATAACAAAAGCTATACTTTATATACTAGTGAAAGTGTCACTAGTATATTTATATACTAGTCACTACAGCAACAGCCTGCTGGACCAAGCTCTCACAAGTTAAACTTGGCCCGTAGCCGGGCTTGGGGGAGTAGAACTCCCAGCATCCCATCAAGCAGGTCTCTATTTATACTTGCGTAATGAACCAGCTATTCCAAATCCTTGTTTTTCTGTTGTTGTTGTTGTTGTTCTGGGAACCAGCCACTGTGAACAAAAAGTTGCAAGTATCACGGGCTGTGGTGAGCCCATAGTGGACTAACCTGGCACAGGAACGAGGCTGTAACTGTCGGATGTTAAAAGATGTTTAATATATTTCCTCATGTACGTTTGGGTAACGTGTGTGTGTGTGTGTGCAGGTATGATGGGGAGCTACACTACCTGGGTTACCGTGGTCGGTGGGGGAACCTAGAGCGTGGGTGTGAGGTGGAGCTGGTGTCTGGTGAGTGTGTCCTGAGCAGCGGCCCCTCCTTCTGGCCCCCCGTGCCCTCAGACTTCCCTGACGACTGCCACCTCATCTAACTCAACACCACACTACCAGCCGTCCGGCTCAAGCTGCTGTCTTCCTCGCCTGCTTCCCTCCACTCCTCACTTCTTACCTTCTTCAAAACTATTATAAAAATTGTTTTCATTATTCATATATGATAATACAGTATATAATTGGTTTTGTTCATACAAAAATGCACTGTTCATTAATACAAGAAAATAATAAGAATATTTGTTATTATAATTATGCATTAGACTTGTATGTCACAAAACTGCAATGCCCATTATAAAATAATAAATACAAATAGCAATGCAAGTTTAAATTTTAGCAATGTTAATAAATATTATAAAAACACTTGACATGATTATTTACACACCTGGTTACATAGCTGGCTAGACTGCAGATTTACACCCGTAAACCAAAAACTGAAATATTAAGGCAAATTTAATAACCTGAATCTTACATTTGACTGGAGACATATTGGAAAGAAAATTACAAACAAATTTATGACTTACATCGACTACTTAATGATCGTGGTAAAAAATGGACAGAACGCTCAGTTCCTGTATTTTCATATGTATGGAGTTGGTGTTTAATATTCAGCTACGTTATTGTGGCTTATTGTCTGTATATACACTTAGTTAAAGGTAAATATATAGTAGTACGCATAATCTCTACATTGCAAAGGGTAACAACAACAAATATATTTGTAAGAAAGTAACATTAAAATTAATTCTATATCCGAGGGTACATGACCTTGAATGGATTAATTTAAATATGTTCAGCTCAAGTAACATTATTCTGTCTTCATCAGGATTTTATAAACTTGTCAACACACCATCACTGCCAGTAAATCCCTAACAACACACACTACCAGAGTCAGGATGACCCGTCAACACCACACACACTACCACAGAGTCAGCATGACCCGTCAACACCACACACACTACCTCAGTGTCAGCATGACCCGTCAACACCACACACACTACCTCAGTGTCAGCATGACCCGTCAACACCACACACACTACCTCAGTGTCAGCATGACCCGTCAACACCACACACACTACCTCAGTGTCAGCATGACCCGTCAACACCACACACACTACCTCAGTGTCAGCATGACCCGTCAACACCACACACACTACCTCAGTGTCAGCATGACCCGTCAACACCACACACACTACCTCAGTGTCAGCATGACCCGTCAACACCACACACACTACCTCAGTGTCAGCATGACCCGTCAACACCACACACACTACCTCAGTGTCAGCATGACCCGTCAACACCACACACACTACCTCAGTGTCAGCATGACCCGTCAACACACCACACACACATACCTCAGTGTCAGCATGACCCGTCAACACCACACACACTACCTCAGTGTCAGCATGACCCGTCAACACCACTCACACTACCACAGTGTAAGCATGACCCGTCAACACCACACACACTACCTCAGTGTCAGCATGACCCGTCAACACCACACACACTACCTCAGTGTCAGCATGACCCGTCAACACCACACACACTACCTCAGTGTCAGCATGACCCGTCAACACCACACACACTACCTCAGTGTCAGCATGAGCCGTCAACACCACACACACTACCTCAGAGTCAGTATGACCCCCATCAACACCATACACACAAACACTACCACAGAGTCAGCATGACCCGTCAACACCACACACACTACCACAGAGTCAGTATGACCCCCATCAACACCATACACACAAACACTACCACAGAGTCAGCATGACCCGCCAATACCCAACACACTACCACGGAGTCAGCATGACCCGTCAACACCACACACACTACCTCAGAGTCAGTATGACCCCCATCAACACCATACACACAAACACTACCACGGAGTCAGCATGACCCGTCAACACCACACACACTACCACAGAGTCAGTAGGACCCATCAACACCACACACACTGCCACAGAATCAGTATGACCCGTCAACACCACACACACTACCACAGAGTTAGTATGACCCATCAACACCACACACACTACCACAGAGTCAGTATGACCCGTCAACACCACACACACACTACCACAGAGTTAGTATGACTGTCAACGCCACACACACTACCTAAGAGTCAGTATGACCCGTCAACACCACACACACACTACCTAAGAGTCATTATGACCCGTCAACACCACACACACACTACCTAAGAGTCATTATGACCCGTCAACACCACACACACACTACCACATAGTTAGTATGACCCGTCAACACCACACACACACTACCTAAGAGTCAGTATGACCCGTCAACACCACACACACACTACCTAAGAGTCATTATGACCCGTCAACACCACACACACACTACCTAAGAGTCATTATGACCCGTCAACACCACACACACACTACCACAGAGTCAGTATGACCCGTCAACACCACACACACACTACCACATAGTTAGTATGACCCGTCAACACCACACACACACTACCTAAGAGTCAGTATGACCCGTCAACACCACACACACACTACCACATAGTTAGTATGACCCGTCAACACCACACACACACTACCTAAGAGTCATTATGACCCGTCAACACCACACACACACTACCTAAGAGTCATTATGACCCGTCAACACCACACACACACTACCTAAGAGTCATTATGACCCGTCAACACCACACACACACTACCTAAGAGTCATTATGACCCGTCAACACCACACACACAACCACAGTCAACATGACCCGTCAACACCACACACACACACACACACAGAGACTACAGGATGACCTGGACTAACTGGAAGAATGGTCTAGAAAATGGCTGCTAAAGTTCAACTCAGGAAAGTGTAAAGTAATGAAATTAGGCGAAGGGAGCAGGAGGCTGAACACACGGTATCATCTGGGAGGTGAAATCCTGCAAGAGTCAAATAGAGCGAAAGACCTGGGGGGTGATATCACACCGAACCTGTCCCCAGAGGCCCACATCAAAAGGATATCATCAGCGGCATATGCTAGGTTTGCCAACATAAGAACTGCCTTTAGATACTTGTGTAAGGAGTCGTTCAGGACCCTGTATACCACTTATGTCAGACCAATCCTGGAACATGCAGCTCCAGCCTGGAGTTCATACCTAGTTAAATACTGGACAAAGTGACAGAAGATTCAGAAGTATGCCACCAGACTCGTCCCGTTACTGAGAGGAATGAGCTTCGAGGAAAGGCTAAAGGAGCTGAACCTCACGTCCCTGGAAAACGGAGCAGTAAAGGGAGACATGATAACCACCTACAAAATTCTCAGGGGAATGGACAGGGTGGACAAAGACGTTAGAAATAATTTTTTCAGTGTCAGAGTAGTTAATAAATGGAATGCATTAGGAAGTGATGTGGTGTAGGCTGACTCCATACACAGTTTCATATATAGGTATGATAGAACCCAGTAGGCTCAGGAATCTGAACACCAGTTGATTGACGTTTGAGAGGCGGGACCAAAGAGGCAAAGCTCAACCCTCGCAAGCAGAACTAGGTGAGTACAACTAGATGAGTACACACTACCACAGATTCAGTATGACCCATCAACACCACACACACACACACACACACTACCGCAGAGTTAGTATGACCCATCAACACCACACACACTACCACAGAGTCAACATGACCCATCAACACCACACACACTACCACAGAGTCAGTATGGCCCATCAACACCACACACACTACCCTAGAATCAGCATGACCCGTCAACACCACACACAATACCCCAGAGTCAGCATGCCCCGTCAACACCACACATACACTACTCCAGACTCATATGTAACTACCAGATAGCTGTACACTTTGCAATGAACATCATAATTTCAACGTTTACGTCCTCTAAAATAGGTTAACTTGTGTAACTAGTTATAGAGGTAAGTTGGCAACCAAAGCGGTCCCTTCACGAATGTAAACGCTTTGCAAAATTAATTGCTAATAAAATTACATTCAATAAATTTCAAGTATGAATGCACTTTTACATAAAACTGAAAAAAGTGTTTATGTTACCTTACCTTGAGGTTACCTTGAGGTGCTTCCGGGGCTTAGTGTCTCCGCGGCCCGGTCGTCGACCAGGCCTCCTGGTTGCTGGACTGATCAACCAGGCTGTTGGACGCGGCTGTTCGCAGCCTGACGTATGAGTCACAGCCTGGTTGATCAGGTTGTTCACTTCTAGCTGACAACAACGAAAGCATCTAACAAGTGTTCTATATGCAAATATTATTATTTATACAAGACGAATGGGTTTATTTCATCTTTGCCATATAATATATTCTGCTTAATTAAGTTGACAATGGTATGTTGCAGTATTCACTTTTCAAGATTAGTCTATGTAGAAATATTTACTTTGAGGAGGAAGAAGATACACTTCTGATATTAGTACAGAGCATGTTATTTATGCGAATAGTCTTTTACATCAATCCCATCACTACCTTCCCTCTCCATCCCTATCCCCTTCCAAATCTTCATAAAGAATTTCAACTCCTCATCCTTCTTCCTTCCCCCGCTTAATCCAAGCCCTTAGGACATGGATTCCACCCCTACTCTCTCGGTCACCCCTCACGTCAGACCATAGTCACCCATCCCTACTCCCTCGGTCACCCCCTAAGTCAGATACCATAGTAAGATACCAATCCCTACTCCCTCGGTCACAACCCAAGTCCCATCAACACCATCACACACAACCACAGAGTCAACATGACCCGTCAACACCACACACACTACCGCAGTCAGTATGACCCGTCAACACCACACACACAACCACAGAGTCAACATGACCCGTTTACACCACACACACTACCGCAGAGTCATAGTAAGATACCCAGACCATAGTCATGTACTATATACCTCGCCCTGCCCTTGTAACTATAATTCATTCATTTATCCGTATTTCACCTATGGTATCTGTGCCTGGGGTTCTACCATCCTTAGTTAACTCTGAACCATAATTACGCAACAAAACTCAGCAATTAGAATAATAACAAATTCCAGTCCCACACACCATTCTGCTACCTTTCTGAAATATTTGAACGTGTTAAATATCAAGTTTCTGCACATACTCGCATACTCTCAATTGTTCTCTACATCTATAAAACTGTGAACTGCAATGCCAGTCCTGACCCTAAGCGACTCCTAGGGGGCTGTAATACAACTCACGGCCAACACATGAAAAACAAATCTCTAATATTCCTAGAGCGAGACGTAACCAAAGCAGAAAGGCTATGCAAATCAAGGGTTCCAAATTGTGGAACGACCTCCCAAATGGAATTAAAAGTTGTACGTCTCCCAACCAGTTTAAAGGAAAGATTAAGAAATACTTACTTGAAATTATGTAATTAATATCATATAATTAATATTATGTAATTAATTTTCCTAAAATTCCCTCATAATATAATATTCTTTATTTACTTTTTCTTAAATCTTATTTACTAACTAGCTGTACCCGGCTATGCGTTGCTGTGACTCATCAACACATGTGCGTTGCTGTGAGCCACAGCAACCTTTCCCTGTCCCCAAGTCCTCCCCACCATGCTCCCCTCCCTCGTCCCCCCGTCCTCTCAACCATTCCCCCACTCCCCCATCCCCTCATCTTCCCCGGTCATTCCCCCCTCCCCCGTCCTCTTGTCCTCCCCACCATCCAACACTCCACCGTCCCCTCGTCCTCCCACCATCTCCCACTCACCCATCCTCTCGTCCTCCCTACCATTCACCAATCCCCTGTCCCCTCATCCTCTCCACCAGGCCCCACTCCCCTCTCCCCTTGTCCTCCCCACCGTTCTCCATTCCCCTGTCCCCTCGTTCCCTCGTCCTCCCCATCATTACCCCTTCCCCTGTTCCCATCATAAAATTGGAACATCAAATGATATGATGTTCCAATCACTGAAAAATAAGAACAATTAAAAAAACGAAATGAAAAACCATAAAAAATAAAAATAAACTATACTCACGAAATGAACGGTATGGTAAACAACACAGCTCAAGTCCAAGACAATGTCACACAAAATAATTAAATCAAAATGAAAATAAATCAAAATCTATGAAAATTCAATTTATCAATGCAATCAGAAACATTGAAATGGAATCTTAACATACTTAGTATATCATGAGTTGCTCTTTTGTGCAACAGATGGAGCTGTTTTAAAAAAGAAGCATGGTTTTACCTGTCACAGGTGTGACATTTATACTTATACTCACGAAATAAACAGAATGGTAAACAACAAAGCTAAATTCCGAAGCCAAGTCACACAAAATAATTAAATCAAAATGAAAATAAACAGAAACGAACACAGTTCAATTTATGAATACAATCGGAAACATTGACATGGAATTATAACATATGTATTATAGCGTGTATTGCTCCTACATGCAACAGATGGCGCCATTTTTTCGAAGAAAACCATGTTTTTACCTGTCACAGGTGAGGTATCTATATAGTAGATATGGAAAAACATGCACGTATTCGAATGGAACATTGTATCAAAATTTCATAGCAATCAGTGAAGAACTTTGGGAGATTACAGCTTATGTTGCTCTTACGTCCAACAGATGACGCTGTTTTTCAAAACAAGCATGTTTATATACATGTCACAGGTGAGACATGTATATAAAAATATGCGCCTATTAGAATGCAACGTTGTGTCAAAATTTCAAAGCAATGGGTAAAGAGGTTTCAAAGATTTCCCTCACATGAAAAACACAGTTTTTAAGAAAAGCATGTTTTTTCCCAATCACAGACGTTACATCTGTATAGTATGCGAACAAGCCTGAATAGTCCCCCAGGCATATATGCAACTGAAAATTCACACCCCAGAAGTGACTCGAACCCATACTGCCAGGAGCAATATGCAACTGGTGTACAGGGCACCTTATCAACTCGACCATCACGACCGGACAAAAGCTGATGGTAGCTGAGGCTATTTCCCCATCAGCCCGCCGGCACTCTGATGGTAATCTTGAGCATAGTATTTTATCAAATCACCTCATTCTTTGGGGCACACATGAGGAACACAAATGCGAACAAGCCTGAATGGTCTCCAGGCATATATGCAACTGAAAACTCACACCCCAGAAGTGACTCGAACCCATACTGCCAGGAGCAATATGCAACTGGTGTACAGGGCACCTTATCCACTCAACCATCATGACCGGACAAAAGCTGATGATCTCACTCATCTGGGGTGTGAGTTTTTTCAGTTGAGTCACTTCTGGGGTGTGAGTTTTCAGTTATCTATATAGTATGCATAAAAAAAATCCGCTCGGATACGAATGGAACGTTGTGTGAAAATTTCAAAGCAATCGGTGAAGAACTTTCGGAGATTAACGATTTTGAACAAACGAACATTTCCATTTTATTTATATAGATAATTACGTCCTTCATTGACATCTACTTATTACATTTAATTTTTCCAATTGTTTATTCATGTAATTTTTTATCCTTGTTTATTTTTATGTTGGCTCCATTTAACTTAAATTATGCTCAATGTTATGTTCCAATTGCTTTTCTAAATTACACCTTAGTCTTTCCATTCTGTTATTAAAGTAAATAAATTACTGTACTGTTGATAGAACTACAGACTCCATAATGTAATAGTCTATGCCTGTTATCATTAAGTATCACTTTTTATTGTAATCATGTTATTTTTTATGAACCTTCTCAATTTTGTTAGCTTACTTCTCTTGTAGTATTGTTTATCCCTTCACACCTTTAAATAATTTTCTACCTAAATTCTAAGTTTTACCCGAAATGCTTTGCGTAACAGTGGTAGTCCTTTTACAGATTATGTCGCCTTTCGCTCGTATGCGCTACGGACAATAAAGGCCGCAATTTGAAAATTAAAATAATTGTAAATATTTTTTTTTCCAAAACAGCAATTTAAGGGTCCTCTGGTAGGTTAGGTGAGCAGGAAGTTCTCCAAAGGTTTCAAAACGTCCTGAAAACCGTTAATTGAAAGTTTCCTCTTCTAACCTAAGATCTTAAGCCAGAGGACACAAAACATAAAACATAAAACTGGACAGTACGTTACTTTCGTGAACCGGTTTTATTTTGAATTAGATCGATTTTTAGCCTGAGTGCGCATACGCGCGAAAAATGACATAATTGATAAGAGGACGGGTTGCATTAGTATGTGTAACTTCTGTCCCTACAATTGTACATCTATCTCATGTTCTTTGTAAACATTCTTCCGAATACAAATTATTCAATGTCATCTTCTGGTGTGTTGTTTAGTCTTCATTATTTTTATTTACCTCCCCGATATTTGCATCTCTCCCTACCTTTAGCGAGTCATCCATCTTGGCTTGTACTGGCTCTTCAAACCATCCCCAACTCCAGGGTTCCCATGACCTCATCTAGTCATCCCCAGGCCATCTTGTCCACCTGACACACAACAGCCTCGGCATTCTCACTCCTCGCCCCAGACGCATGACAGCTGAATGGACAGCGCTTCGGATTCGTAGTCCTGAGGTCCCGGGTTCGATCCCCAGTGAAGGCGGAGACAAATGGGCAAAAAGTTTTTTTCACCCCTAATGTTCCTGTTCACCTAGCAGTAAATAGGTACCTGGGAGTTAGACAGCTCCTACGGGCTGCTTCCTGGGGGAGTGCAACAAAAAGGAGGCCTAGTCGAGGACCGGGCCACGGGAACGCTACGCCCCGAAATCATGTCAAGATAACCTCCCACTTTAAACACAGTGAATGCAATAAATCCTAAATAAACGTGCATAAATTATATTTTTACATTTTAAATTAAAAATAACATCGGGTCTCTGACATCTGAAGTGTTAACCTGAAGCCAGCGAACTTCTAAATTATAAATTGATGCTCGTTTAAGAAGGATAATCGATCTTACAGCCTTTAGGAGTAGAGTTGTATAGCCACTGCATCCCACCTAACATCCAGAAAAACCAAGACTTATAGAACAGATTCTTGCACGGGCACACCATGAGAACAATCGCTCTTTTTTCAAGTGTTGATATTCAACTTCAACAGTAAGGCTTGACTTCAGAGTCAAGTTTACTGCGGCTGCCTCGATGCCAAACAGCGTCAGACCCTCCTGCACACCACGATCCAACTGTCATTGCACGTCACCACCGGATCGCCAGTCAAGCCAACCTTATAACTGGCAACCATCATAGCGAGTAAAGAGAAGTGGAACGTCTGCCAAACTCCAGCATATATAACAGCTGGCAATGTCCTGCATCGGGCAGTCGGCAACTCCGAGGACGATGTTTAGGTGGGTGTGGGCGTGGGTGCTGACGAAGGCGGTGCTGGTGATAACACAATCTGAACCCAACAGCCAGCATGACGGGTGTCCCATGGTGCCGTCCCTGCTGCAGGCTGCAGGCTTCAGTCCCTCCTGTGTAGCCACCGCCCTCGCCACATGCACCAGCCAGAACGATAACCATTTCTTACCCTTGATACAGGTGAGCAAAACTCTACTAAATGCAGAGGAGTGTCGGACTCCTTGATGAACCCGTCCTCATGCTATCATGCTCTGTGGCCGACCCTAGAGACACATTCAACAATATTACCCAGTAATACCTTTTTCTCCAATATAAATTACAGATAATTTGAACATCATCATATGCATCGAGAAGTGCCAACAATCTTCTTCCGTTGGTGTTTGTGAGTTGATCCCCTAATTGTTTGTGTTTAGCATTTAAATCCCCAATTAAGATGGTAGGGTCAGTATGTGCAAAATTAGGTAGGTCTGTATACTGGAAGATGCCAATAGGTGCATAGGCATTCAAAACACTCATTCTAATATAAATTAATATATTTTACTTTATTATTTTGTGTATTGTAAGACCTTAGATAAGTAAGACCAGGGGACATGGTGATGCAGGAGCAGACGTTACGTTTTTGTGTTTCTGTGGGTAATAAAGAACTGGATAATTTTCCATATGACAACTCTGTTCCCAGATGCCTCTCATGGTCGGAGGCAGCAACCATACATCTGTTACGTTATCTCAAGTAATCCTAGTGTAAAAATACTCACGAACGCTTGCTCCACATTGAGCTAAATTTAATGAAAATATTAATGTATTCAACATGCAGCCTAAGAATTATTTTTTTAATTCGTTCTCTTGCATGTGTATGGAGGTGCAGGAGACGATGTCAGCTGTGAGGACAGCCTTACAAGACAGCACGACCAATGAAAAACGACCGCGACACTGCCGAGACCTTCTGGCCGCCGGCGACACCGGGGCCGGCATCCGGCAGGTGTACCCGTTCCTCAAGCACCCAGATGCCTCAGTCACCGTTTACTGTGACCAAACAGTCGACGGCGGCGGCTGGACCGTATTTCAGAGGCGCCGCAACCTTACTGAACGAGAAGATTTCTACCGTACATGGGTCGAGTATCAGCTTGGATTTGGTCATCTGGAGGGCGAGTTCTGGCTGGGTCTCGACCTTCTCCACGAACTCACTTCTGTCACTCTTCAGGAACTGAGGATTGACCTCAAGGATTACGAGGGAGAACAACGATGGGCAAAGTACGGACGCTTCAACATAGGGTCTCCTGACACACATTATCGCATCAGCGTCGGAAGGCAAGATCATTACGACATTCCTTAAGCACTGAACCATTATAAAATACACATTAGATTGTAGTCGTTTCGAATGTATTGCACTATAAAAGTGTGTAATAAACCAACAATATAACGTAAATTTAAAGAGGAATTATAAAAGATTGCCTAATCAAAAGTCCGGATTAAGACAAGTCGTTTTATTTTTGCATGTATGTGATCTAGATCTGACAAGGAGCCACTGCAATAAACTTTTTTTATCGTGTATACTCTCCGTGACTAGGTACACTGGAGATGCAGGAGACTGTGAGACAGGTCAGAACGGATTTGGCTTCTCTACTTTCGACGCCGACCACGACAATATTACTGGCAACTGTGCAGCATTGTAAGTATCACTAAATTTACTTTTGGCCAACAGTTTAAATATTTAATGCAAAATTACATAGTTTGCCTTCTGTAAATAGACAAAATGTGTACCAAGTTTTCCATGTCTTCATAATAAATTTTCAAGTATTGTGCTTCATCACTTTGTAGTTGACGTGTTGAAGACAATAAGTCACATTGACATGGCTGAACACTTGATACCCAACACACAGATACGAAAATAAAGGAGGTGACGATATTTCGGTCCATCCAGAACCATTAACAAGTTGTGTAATAAGAGAGAAGTGGTTGTTGTTGTTCTTTTAGATTCAATTACTTGCAACACAAAGTTTCAAGCAGCCCGGGCTATGGTGAGCCCATAGTGAATTTACCTGGCACAGGAGCGGGGCTGTATCTGCGTGTGAACGAAGTGGTGGAGAAAGTCAATTTATAAGATAGCAGAGCGAGATTGAGGGGCCAGAAGCCTGAAGTATAGGAATATGTTTGAAGAGAATAGGTAGAAGAATGGGAATGAAGTGGAAGTATAGGAATAAATAAAACTGCAGAAGGCCAAATGGCGGAAAGAACGTAGTGGAAAGCTAAGTCAGATCCTGTTTATTAAGATGATTAGATCACTAGAACATTTAACTGGATATTCAGAAATTAAGGCAATAGCAGCAAAACCAGGACCAAGTTACATGTTGTGTATGAGAGCTGAGTCAACAAGACAGCGTCTGTGAAGGGTAGAGGCAGGAAAGATTTTAGAAGACCAGTCTGTAGGATGATTAAGAGTCGCTAACATGACAGAAGAGATCATTGTTTGTGTTTCTAGTGTTGGAAGCCGGTTCAGCATGAAAGTACATATAGTTTGGGAACAGGAACAGGATAAAATTGAAGGACTAATAAAGGCGAGAGAACAACAGGAACCATAGTTCTGATTTTGTTGCTGTTGACTCTTGCCGTTCTCAATTCATAATTGAATGCTCTCATATTATTACATTTAATAAACGTGATCTGCCTTAGCTTTAGCCCCCCTCTACACTCTCCTTTCTTCATGTTGCTATCTCTTGTGTGTCTGTTCCACCGCCTTCTCTTCGCCATTGGGTCTTTCATGTTTTTTATTCCTATAATCCAGTCTTATTCACACACTTCAACCCTATTCCTATACCTAAATCTTCTCGCATTTTTCCCTCATTTCCTATCTTATAAATTGACTTTCTCCATTACTCTTTTTTCAGATGTGTGATTTGGGTGTGACTATTGTTAAGCTCACAAAGTCATTTGCATGGAGTCTGCCTCTGCCACTCGCTTCCCAGTTTATTCCGTTTCATTACCTGCCTAACAGTTATTGCTATTATACCTACAACTCGTTTTGATAAGTGTTCACCTGCATTTTCTAATTGGTGTCCCTTGCGCGTTAAATAACCTGTCCCTGTATACCTTCTCGCTTCCGCCATTTATTATGAACGTCGTGATCATGTCTTCCATGTGTACGTCGTGAGCATGTCTTCCATGTGTACGTCGTGAGCATGTCTTCCATGTGTACGTCGTGAGCATGTCTTCCATGTGTACGTCGTGATCATGTCTTCCTTGTTTTCTCTTTCTTTCAGTGACGTGGGATAATTATTTTCGTATTCTCGTGATTATCTGTGCATGTCTGGTGTGTTTGGTGTTGTGTTAGGGTGTTGTGGTGTCCAGCTATATGAACTCTTTCATTTGCGCTTGCAGGACGAATTTCACCTCCTGGGGCATATCTTTCAGTCATCGGTCTTTCATTGGAGTGACTTTCGATTTATATCATGCCTATTCTTGAAACAATGGATTAAATTGAGTTAATTCCAACTCTGTAATTACCTAGATGTATTTACTGGGCCGATCAGTAGCTCCCAAACCCTGGCTTTCCATCTCGGGGTCCGTTAATGCACGACTTTCATTCCTCCACTTTCTCGTCGTACTGTCTTTCGACAGTTCTTAAAGAATTTGCCTGATCAGGTGGATCATCTCGTGTAGCACATTTAGTTGCGACCTTCCTCTGAAGAAGTATCCCCATTAAGCTTTTGCGGCTTACCCGTGTTTCCAGCTTACAATCGTGTCCTCTGGTGTTACAGTTTATCATTTTGAGAATCCCTTTGTCCACCCTGTTGGTTCCCCCTAAAATTTCGTATGTCATCATTACCCTCCAACATAGAGTTTGAGCTCGTTCAGCCTTTCACTTTAATCGAGTCCCATTTTACTGCAAATATGCTAAAACAAGTAAATCTTCCCTTTTTAAATGGAAAGGGCACTGGTTTCGGATATTTATTTTCTTCATCTTGGGGTGCAAAAGAATTGGAAAACGTCCAGAAACCTGTGTTTACAACTGGTGCCGATAAATCCGTTTAGGCCTAATTTGAAAATTAGCCCCAGGAATATTTAGACTCTGCTAACATTGATAACTAAATGTCGCATTATCAGAATATTTATAGTAGCTTACTAGAGTTTGGTACATATAGCTTTATAGCAATAGAAGAGTTTTCTGAAAGGATATTTTCTGACTTTAAAATATTGTATAATGTTCAATAATAAAGATTTGTAATAGAAATATATGATGAAACGTTAAAAGGACATTCTCGCGTTATTTGAAGTTGCAGCTGCTTGAAAGATCAAAATAAAGCATTCTTAACTTTACTTAAACTTGATAAAGACAAGTGTGGATGTCATTGTCATTGATGGTACAACTTGAGCTTCGAAACGGGTGACGTGGCGTCAGGAGGACAAGTTCACACAGTTTACCTTTGACACAGGTACCGCTGAGCTTGGTTGTACAGCAATATTTAACACATGTTTCTCAGAGTCTGGTATACGGCTATACTTTATCTTCAATACAGGCACCGTGGCGCTTGGTGGTATACTCGTTGCCATTGCTCCAATCTGAACGGCTACCAGTACGTTGGCGAACACGACAGCTATGCGGATGGCATCAACTGGAATCTTTGGAAGGGCTACCATTATTCTCTCCGGGAGACTACCATGATGTTCAGACCCGCTTTCTGAATGGTTCCTCAGGCCGCCCGCCACGATTCATGTGACTAGACCCCTAAACGTCGTCCGGGTTTGACTACCACTAGTGAATTGTCCTTAAATGCTAAATTTTTTTCTTACGCATAACTTACTTTGTTTAGTTTACTTTGAAGTTTGCAAGCTGAAACTGCACGTTTTCTGTAGCTCTACATAGCGAGCGAGGAAACTGAATTCTTATTGGATACTTTTTTGTTATTGGCAATTTACAAGATTTTTTTGTTTTTTTAAAGGAGAATGTTGGTCACCAGACTTTTGTCAAAGCGCGTTACATAACTTCACATATTTCGGATGTAAGAGCGACAAAATTTTCATGTTCGTGCAAATAGAACATTTATTTGGTAACATCAAAATGTGCTAGTTTACTAAGGGCGGTTCTACCTTTGTTGATAATTAGAACCGTCCTCTGCCAGCCCTCTGCTTGGTCATTAAAATAACTTGGCTTATTTAAAACTTAAATGTTTGACTGATTTCGAAATATCTACTTGTTCAGTACTTATTAAAACAATATAATTAGTTACTGTTTATGGATTAGCTTGTTCACTGGTTGGCTGCTCATAAGACGTGCGTGTTTTTGGGTCACTACATTTGGCCATTGACTCACCATATTACCATTGTGAGCACGATGCATGTTGAACAAAGAACACTATACTTTATGAGTGATGGTAGTAATGTTCCTCAGTGAAACATGCACGTGTACCTTGCCCCACCTGGATGTGTACACACCGGCACACTTGCAATAGTCACTTACATGTCTTTATTCCAGCTTTATAGGATGCAAATTTAAATAATCATAGTAACAATTAAATCGAGCATAAAAGCTTCTTGCACATATTTTCAGTAACAATTCTAAAACTATAATTTTGGAGTTGAAATATATAATAAAATGCTTTTGTTAAAAATGTGTCTTATTATCTGAACCGGTACATAAAGCAGAGGCTAGTTGTCCCCACAAACCTCTAAATCTGCACATGAAATACATGACCGAAATGGATGACCGAGTTGAGTATGAGCATAGCTGGTCAAGTCACCCTAGTTAAGGCTAAGGGAAGGGAGCTATCAGGAGAATGCGCCAAGCCATTACGACTATATAGCACTGGGAAGGGTTCAGGATAAGGATTATGGATGGGACGGGGGAAGGAATGGTGCCCAACCACTTGGTTGGGCACCATTCTGTCGGGGATCAACGCCGACCTGAATAAAGCTAGACCATCGCTCTACCGTCCACCCCAAGTGGTTAGGTTAGTTTAGGCTAAACTAGTTTAGATTATTTTGATCAGATAAAAGTTAAATTAGGATACCGCACATTAGATTATCACACTTCCATGTTAACGCGCACTAACTCATCCTACTTAGTTATCTTGTTTCACATTTAATTTAGACCTGTTATGTGCGCTTAAAACGAAATAGTCCAAAATATACTTAATAATAGCCAACAAATAACCTGTTCTAACCTAACCTATTCCCGACAGAAATGGTTGGGCACCTTTCCTTTCACCTAATGCAGCTGTTCACCTAACAGTAAATAGGTACCGAGAGTTAGGCAACTGTTGTGGGGTTTGATCATTGGGAATAATTAACAATTCGATCTTGGCTGGTCCTCCATAAGCTGTCTTTTCGACGGCTCAT